CCGTTGGCCTGCATGACTGTGTTCTCTTTAAGGCCTTAGCAGGACCCCTGTCGATGAATAAATCTTCCCCGTAACATCTTTTGGTGGAGGTGCTGGGTATTCACACAACCCGGCTCTGGAACTCCGCAGTGGACGCCAGCTTTGTCCAGCCGCGATGCCTGAAACCGGCACTCAGGCCTCGCCATCCGCGCCGGCTCCATCACCTGTGATTCCCCCCATCTTCTTGACCCTGGCATGTTTCCCGGGACAGACAGCACGGACGTCAAAGAATGGCTCGCATTATTCGAGCGCGTCAGCAAGCACTACAGGTGAGATGAGACGCTTATGCTGGCAAATATTCTATTCTACCTACGGGGTACGGCACGCGCCTGGTATGAGACGCATGAAGAAGAATTAACAAGCTGGGACACATGCAAGCAACAGCTTCGTGACTTGTTCGGTCGGTCAGTTGCTTGTCAGATGGCAGCCAGGCAGGAACTCGCATCGCGTGCTCAATCACCGACGGAGTCGTACATCACGTACATCCAAGACATACTGGCACTGTGCCGGAAGAATGACAAAGACATGTCCGAGGCAGGCAAGATCAGCAATGTGTTGAAAGGCATTGCTGACGATGCTTTCAACATATTAATGCGTAAGAACTGTACCACTGTCGACTCCATCGTATCTGAATGCCAACGATTGGAACAGGCTAAAAGCAGGCGAATAACCCACCACATCATGAGACTACCAAACACCGCTGCGACTTCGTCTTGCGAGGATTCGGCAACGCCCCGTTCACTTGCACCTCCTGCCAATATCAATATTGCAAGGATTGTTCGCCAGGACCTGGAAGCCATGGCACCCGCTTCCTATCCGCCCCCTGCACAAGACAACTGGGCAACAGTCTCGCTTCTTCAAGCCGTCGTACGTCAGGAGTTTGCTAACCTGGGCGTCCAGGTTCCCCAACCCACCAGACTTATGCCGCAGCCCTATGAGCACTCCTGTTCACAACGCTGACCACCACTCTGCTCCACTTGTCGCTGCGGCAGCTGCGACTCCTCGGTTTCCGCCACACTACCGAAATCCATCTGAGTGGCGCACGCACGATGATCGACCCATCTGCTTTTCTTGCTCTCGAGTTGGGCACATTTCCCGCCATTGCCGCAACAGATGGTATTTCCGGCCAAGCTTTCCTAATGTCGACCGCCGTCAGGACCGTGGACACTATTCGCAACCCGGTTTTCCGGATGACCATATTCAGGACCCTACATCTCGCCGTTCATCTCCATGCTCCGAAGTCGTTCTACGCTGACGTCGTCGCCCAAAGAAACTGGTCTAGCCGCTCACCGTCACCTCAGGTTCGGCCGCCACGCTCCCCTCAACGCCGCCGCTCTCCATCACTGGCTCATTCTGGTCATCCCCCGGGAAACTGACGAGTGCAGCTCCTGGAGGTGACACTGCGTTGACGACTCGGAACGAAAACCCTCAACCGGCTACAAATTCAAGACACAATATACTTCGAGTGTTTCTTGATAGCCTCGCCGTTACTGCTCTAATTGACACTAGTGCCCAAGTATCTGTTATGAGTTCTACACTTCGATCTCACCTAAACAAGGTTCTCACACCTGCTATGTTCTCTACTGTTCGAGTGGCCAACGGAAGTCAAACATCGGTGCTTGGCATGTGCACTGCCCATGTTACTGTTGCCGGCCACCACACTTCCGTTCTCTTCGCAGTCCTCGATGCTTGTCCACACGACGTCATCCTAGGAACTGATTTCTTAACCGCCCACTCCGCCCTCATCAATTGTTCTATTGGTATCTTACAGCTCGAATTGCCTTTGTGCACCGATTTCACTCCTCCAAGTCCCACTAAGCTACGATCTGTGGAGTCTCTACGGCTACCGCCCCAGGCTGCTATGTGCATTCCTACTTCGCCCTTTCCGTACATTCCTGATAGAGACTATCAGGTGGCTCCCCTGATTGATTTGAACCTTACGCACCACATCGCACTACCACATACTATAGTGGTTGTTGCTAACAACACGGCGCTACTTCCTGTTCTGAACTTCTCTACGTCAACCCAAGTTCTTCCCCAAGGAATCCCTTTAGCCGATCTTTCCACCCTGGATGAATGTTCGATTTGTTCTTTCACTCTTGACACTAAGACCGTGGCAAAACCTGGCATCACTCTGCAATATAAGGCGTTTCTCGACAAAATGATATCTGGCGACCTCTTACCTTCCCAAGTTGCAGCACTACGGGGTGTTCTATTTTCTTACCTGGATATCTTTGACGTCGATGACCCTCCCCAGGGCCGCACAAGTGCCGTAGCCCACCTGCAACGACACCGGCGACGCTGGTCCACTCCACAAACGCCTTTACCACGTGTCACATGCTGAGCGCCAAGTTATACAGACGGAGGTCAAGAAAATGCTCAGCAAAGATGTCATTGAGCCTTCATCGAGTCCTTGGGCATCCCCTGTGGTCTTAGTTAAAAGAAGGACAACACCTGGCACTTTTGTGTCGACTATCGCCACCTGAATAGGATCACCAAGAAGGACGTTTATCCTTAACCCTGAATTCATGATGCGCTCGACTGCCTCCACGGCGCCCACTATTTCTCGTCCCTTAACCTTCGATCCGGATACTGGCAAACTTCGATCGACGACCGCGAGAATACAGCATTCACACACCCGACGGCACTTACCAATTCAAGGTCATGCCTTTTTGTTTGTGCAATGCCCCGGCTACTTTTGAACGTATGATAAACTCTCTTCTCCGCAGTTTCAAATGGTCGACCTGCCTTTGCTATCTGGACGATGTAATCGTTTTCTCGCCCTGCTTCGAAAGCCACCTGTCTCGTCTCTCGGCAATTCTTCACGTTTTTTTGTTGCCCCAACCTCCAACTGAATTCGCCCAAGTGCGCATTTGGAAGCCGGCAAATTAAACTACTTGGCCACCTTGTTGACGCCACTGGTGTTCAACCCGACCCTGACAAAGTACATGCAGTCCGAGAATTCCCTGTTCCGCATTCCACACAAGAAGTACGCAGTTTTATTGGGCTCTGCTCATACTTCCGTCGCTTTGTCTTCAACTTCGCGGATATTGCTAGGCCCCTCATGGATCTCCTCAAAAAGAATGTGGCCTTTTCTTGGGGAAAGCACCAAGAACATTCCTTCGGATCGCTGATTACCGCCCTCACATCACCGCCTGTGTTGGCTCATTTTGATCCAGCCGCTCGAACAGAGCTTCGCACCGATGCAAGCAGCCATGGCATTGGTGCTATACTAGCTCAGATACAGAATGGCACCAACCCTGTGATAGCCTATGCTAGTCGCCTTCTGTCGCAAGCGGAACAAAATTATTCCATCACTGAGTGGGAATGCTTAGCCCTCGTTTGGGCTATTGTGAAATTCCGTCCGTACTTATATGGACTGTCCGTTCATAGTCATCACGGACCATCATGCGCTTTGCTGGCTGTCGACGCTTAAGGACCCTACAAGAAGACTCGGCCGATGAGCACTTCAGTTACAGGAGTACACATTCTCAGTGGTGTAAAAATCTGGAAGGCTTCACAGCGATGCTGACTGCTTATCCTGGCACCCCTTTGATCCACCTAACAACACTGATTTAGAAAACTGATGCCTGCGTTTTAGCCATCAATGACTTTCTGAACGTGGCCGACGAACAGTGCCGAGATCCATCCCTGCTCAAAATCATTGACCGCCTTCAATCGCGCCATACTGACCCTTCCCTTACCAGATTCCTGCTTCAAGACGTTTTGCACCACCGCAACTTACACCCCGACGGCATGGAACTTTTACTCGTCGTACCACATCACCTGCGAAAGGATGTTCTGCGACCATTCCACGACGCTCCAACTTCTGCACATCTAGGTGTCTCCAGAAGTTACGACTGCATTCGACGACAAGTCGAATGCAGTCCTACTTCGATCTTGTGCTACCCGTCACAACTTCACCACATCTTACCACCCTCAGACGAACGGCTTTACGAAGCGCCTAAACCGCACATTGACAAACATGCTTTCCATGTACGTATCTATCGACCACACTGATTGGGAAATAGCTCTGCCGTTCGTCACCTCCGCCTATAACTCGTCGCGTCATGAAACAGCGGGCTACTCCCCATTTTATCTACTTTTCGGACGTCACCCTTACTGCCCTTCGACACACTGATTTCATCATACCACCCATCCTCCACTTCGTACGCTCAGGAAGCTGCCACCCTGTGCCCCCACGGCACGCGCGGTAGCCTGCGCTTCGGTTATCGTCGTCACAGACAGCACAAAAGCCTCTTTACGACCGTCGAAATAGGGATGTCGTTTTTTTTGTGGGATCTTTGTTCTCCTGTCACTCCCATCTCGACATGTCGGCCTCCGCGAGAAACAACTATCAGAATACGCTGGGCCCTACTGAGTTTTTTGTCAGGTCACACCAATGACCTACGAGATTGCTGCGATCACAAAGTCATCGGCTGCTGCACCCAGAAAAGAAGTAGTCCAGGTTTCTCGTCTCAAGCCCTACAACGCTGACTCACTCATTTAACAGACACCAAGACGGTGCCTTACCGGCCGGGGTGATGATACGTGTAGGAACGGTCGCACCGGCACAGCTGAAATGGCACCGGAAAGGAGGAAGACGACAACGTGGTTGTTGTGGGTGAGACTCTCGAGTTGCCCCGTTGCCCTGCATGACTGTGCGCTCTTTAAGGCCTTAGCAAGATCTGCTGTCGGTGAATAAATCTTCCCCGTAACAACATGATTCCCCATTAAAAAATTTTTTTCATTAAAAGAAAAAGCAAGTGGATAAGGGCTTCTTCTGTGCTATTCAAAATTTTTAATAATATTGCACCTCTACACCAGTGGTTATTAGACTCAATACATCACTTGCTAAACTGCGATTCTTCTATTATAGACATACAGTCTGTGTCAAAAGACTCCAATGCTGCGCTGAGCAAGAGACAGAACAAAATGAAGAATGAGCTGCGGTCACTCACCCCTGTTGAGGCGGCCCATGCCATCTTCCATCTCAGCCAGGCGCTTCTGGCAACGGCTGCGCTCGATCCGTTCAGCGTCCAACTGCAAGGCGTAGACTGCTGCTACATATATCTTCAGCTCGTGGGCATTACTTTTTGCATACACCAAGCTTTAAAAAACTGCATGCATTACCTTGTTGCTATCAATATTATCACAGGTCTTCAGCACTGTATTCAGACGACTCTTTTTGTCCCCTACTGTGGTGTCGAAAAAAATCACCCGAGCGAAAAGTTGGAGGATGCCTGAGCTTCACTTTCAAAAGAAGAGTGCGATGGCACAATCAAGCCCTGTTCCCAACTCCTTCATAATCAGGGGCATCGTTTTGCTTACCAGTGGACTCCTCAACCATGCCACAAGGAAACGAAGCTCTGCCCGCTAACATAGGCGGCCACTATCCTAGAATTCCCATTGCAAGTACATTCACAAAGTGCCCACTACACCACAATTCCTCCTTTTGCGAAACAGCCAAGCAACTACTACAAGTCTGTAAAGCAACACGCGAGCCTACACAGCTGCTCAATGTTGATGCTTATGCAGATGATGATGATTAAATATGACTGATCACTTTGTGATGGGTGGGCCTTTAAAACGTGCCCTCATTGTGCCATTCAAATGTCTTGATTCTATATTTCTGCCACACAAGATTACATGCATTAAGAAGACTCCTCGCAATGCCTGGCGTCTGCACATAATTTTTTTTTTCCTGAAGCAGTTCCAAGCAATGGCGTGACTACGTGGTAGAACACCTATAAAAGTGTATGGGTTCAAGCTTGTCAGTAAAGCTTCATTGATGCGAAACAGGGCGAAAATTGAGGAGACCGAAATAAACGCAGAGGAAAGAGTGCTGAACTACCAACAAATGTGTTCATTTGTGCAAGAACGAATAAATGCGTGTCCACACATGCCAGGAAAGGGGATGGGGATGGAAAAAGAGCATGCATCCTACTTTATACAACACATCTACCAAATGATGCAAATAGCAAATCTTCTTGTCAGCATGCATCAGTGCATCCCTCGATAGCAATTAACAGACAAGGAGAATAACTATTAGGTAGATGCGAAGTATAGGGTAGGGTGCATGTGCTTTTTCAATCCCCCTCCCCTTCCTGTCATGTGTAGACACCTATCTATTCGCGCTTGCACAAATAAACGCATTTGTTGGTAGCTCAGTGCTCTTTTCTGTGTGTTCGCACTATCTGGGATCAATGAAGGTAGAACAGCTGCTTGCCACGCAGAAGGCCTAGGCTAAATTTCCAATTGAACTGAAATTTTTCATTTATTTATTTGCATCAAACTAGAATTTTTTATCTTGAACAATGCTGATGCCCTTGAACCAATGATGCTGACATTGACACTAGAATTTCCGCAAAACGGGCTCTTCAACGCTATCGTGTTCAAAGCCCGCCTTCAATGCGGTGACAACTTTCTTTATGTAATAATTTTGGGTGCAATGATTTGTAGTCTAGCTGAACTCCATTCAACAGACTTCACGACTGAAGCAGAAAGCCTTTCTTTATGCACTTATATGTACAGGAGGCCTAGCCAGAAGGGTAAAAGCCTCAGCTTTGTCTGTAGTACATAAGGACAGGGCTTCTTTTTGAATTCTCTTTAATTTTCATTTACAGCTCATATACATAGCTGAATACGCGGAAATATACTGCCCATGCACAAAAGGTCGCTGTGCCATCTACTATGTATAACGTGTGGCCCTGCTACCTTTGCTTAGGTCAACAAAAGTGTTAAAATGTCAAAACAATTTTATGTTCTCAGTAACGTGCGTTCATTTGCTGTCAATAGTATCATATTAAATGCAGTAAAACTGATGATGTCCCTTAATAAATGTAGCAAAGAAAATAAATGCGAATTTAAGAGTTAGTTTTTTTCAATAGACATAATAATGAAACTAACAGACAACAGACATGCATGTAAGTTCTCATTAATTAACATAACAGTGGCTTAACTAAGACTTCTCAGTGTACATTTCAAAACTGCAACACATCTAGGAAGTAACAATAGTGATTTACATGTCATACTTTTATGTAATTACACAAAAAACCAGACATTGTTTTTCGATTTACATAATTTCAGGCACATGACGACACACCCGCAAAGTTACAAGAAATATCTTGGAGGAAATCAATGTAACTCCAGCATTAAATATTTATAGAAAGAATATACTCATACCTCTTGATTGATTGATTTGTGGGGTTCAACATCCCAAAACCACCATTTGATTATGAGAGACGCCGTAGTGGAGGGCTCCGGAAATTTCGACTACCTGGGGTTCTTTAACGTGCGCCCATACTCATACTTTAAAAGCTTTTTTAAAGACGATAGGTTGGGGTACTTCAACGCAAAAATTTTCATCTGTGTGTCTGTCTGTCTGTGCATTTGTCTGTTTGTCCGCCGTACAATACCTTAATGGTAGCAAGTGATATGCCAAGCGGCCGACCCAATCCGCAGCGCACACCAATATTGCTCAAGTTTCAGCGTTCATACTTATGCGATTCTCTATTAAAAAGGAATTATTGCACATATTTGAGGCACCACAACAACACGTCAATATTTTGTTTGTGTGGCTTTATACTAGAGAAGACACACATAAGTAATTTTAAGGGCCGTAGCGTTCATCAAGCTGCACTGACAGTGCGACGCGATGCTCAGAAAGGCAAGTGTTTCCAACGTTTTGCTAAGACGACACGGTAATGGCACCTGCCAGTCGCTTTGCGTTCTGCACCTTATCGTCTTTGAGACAGGCGTGCACGCCTTCCCTTGTTTTTGAAGATAACTGCCAGATAGCGCTCATGTCTAACGTGCCTCAATGCGCTCGTTCGCCTTCGCTGCACAGATCTAGACTCTCTAATGCAGCGTTTCCAGAATACAATTCACCGATTTTCTTGCGCAGAACATCAAATAAACGTTTTGTTCACTCTCTCCAGACACAAGTCTTTCGACAACATTTGCAATGAAACATGCAGATACTGGGCCAATTTTTTACAAACGAAGTTTAACAAAAAAAAATGTTTGAACACCAGCATCACGCTGATGAACGAGGTTCCAAGGCAGCCGCTCACCTCAGCCAAGAGCTTCTCATTCTTGGCCGCCAGGTCGCGGGCGGTGCTTTCACTCTGTTCCAGCTCACCCTTGAGGCAGGTTACCTCCAGCCTTAGATCTGCATTTTTAGTGCACGAAATGCAAAGCTGAACTCTTTAGACCGACCTGAAACAGCATTGCTTATTGTTCTGGCCTGCAGTAAGAAATCTTTTTTTCCCAGTGGTTTATTCAGTAATGGTTCGTCACTTCTAGTAGTCACATTGGATGAACAAGCTCCACAATGAATTGTTCTTTCCTGCACCAAGTTTCAATAGATTTTTTCCAAAACTCTACGAAATATAACATGACTTCTGCTGATTTCACTCTCACCCAAAGCAACGAAGTAAACTTTTTTCTGCAACATTTACTGAATCATGGTTTAACACATCTTTTAAAAAGCTACCAGTCGAAACCATTATAACTTTCTGAGCATGGTTCAAGTGTGCAGGCAGGCTTGATATGTCTGACAGCCAGAATTCTTTCATGTCAAGCTTTTCACTGACATCTTTCACAGCCAGGGTTCTCAGCATAGAATAGAAACTATGGCTGCAAATGTGCAGCCTTGTTTTCACGTTAAAGCAGGTTGTGCAAAAGATTCGTTGATCTTTATTCTTTGACGTTCACTCCTTTGACACTTGAGCCTAACTTTTGCTACAAAAGAACTGGGTGGGAAGAGTTAGGACATTGAGAGACAGCAAGACTGTTCTGTTGGTTGTGAAAGATTTATAAAATACCTCAGCCTCCATTTCCAGTCATTTTGTGTGAAAATATAACGACTTGAGTGCAGACGCAGCAAGTAAGTACAGTCAACTGCCGATTTTTCGGACACCCGAATTTTCAGACATGCCCGATAATTCGGACATCTTCGCAGCATCGCCACGAGCCCCACAGAATCAATGTATAAGAAAGTCTAAAATTTCGGACGCTTGAACCCCCTGGAGTCCAATTTTCCGGACTTTTTGAGGCGACGGAAGGTCGGAAACCACCACAACTGCGTCACACGCGATTACGATCGCATAAATGAGCGCGCCGGTCTACTGTGGCGGCATCTGTTGCTTAGAATTCGGACTCGTTTATCGTTAGCGAAGAAACACACACGGCCTCCGAGATTCCTAACACTGGCCCTGTTTATCGCGCAAGGGCGCTTCGCTGACAATCGAAACTATCCATTCTGAAATTTTTCGGCGCCAATAAAGTTCCTTTTGCTTTAGCGCTTGTGCTCGTGCGTGCCACTCTGGCTTTCCGCGCAGCGCTTTCGCGAAGCGTTTCACCACTTCGAACTAGAACTAACCGTCACACACCGATTTGGTCTGGCCATGCTGGCTCTCTTAAATGTTTACCAGCGCCACCTCCGGAGTACCCGAGGCACCGTCGCCTGCCATCGCGCCGTTTTGTTTACGCAGCCCACATGGTGTTTGACTAGCCTAGTGCGTGGTTGTGCGATTGTGTGAAGTGTGCTCTGCAAGGCTAAGCCTAGGTGCTTCGACGCTCGTCAGCAAACTCCTTTGTTCACATCCTGAGGATTTCGCTTGCCTGCGATGGTCCCCACTCCGCCTTCATCGTCCTCGCCGATGGCATCGAAGCGCGGAAAACAGTACCGTCGGTTAACGATGAAGAAGAAAGCCGCCATTATTAAGTTAGTATTAAGCCACTGCAGCTCTAACACTGGCTGCCCTGACGGCACCCGCTGTCGGCTGCATGCATTGTTTTTTTAATGGCTCTTTTCAGAGCTACCCCACTGATGCTTTGGCAGAGTTCCAGAAATCTGGTACTTCGACCTTGACCCTCTTGATCCGAGAAATATCAATGAAATGGTGCACTTTTTGCTTGCATTGAGAAATATTAGCAAAATGGTGCGTTTTTTTTTTTCTTGCATTAAAAATTATCAGTCAAATAATGCGTTTTTTTGCTTGCATTCATTTTTTCGGACTTCCCGAATTTTCGGACGGTTGTTCGCTTCTTAGAGGGTCCGAAAAATCGGCAGTTGACTGTAGTGAGGCACGGAAAGTTGACGCAAGTGAAGCTGTGCTCCTAAGCTAGAGCATCCTCCTAATCATGATGTTTAGGCTATAAGTAGTAAGTATAGCTTTGTATTAAACACACAACGCACACAAAGTGGCACAGAAACATGGGTAACAGAAAACATTATTCTTTTTTCCAGGTACATGCTTTTACTTTAATGTTTAGAGATACTATTCATACAAGCACTGATATGGTTATACAAAAGACTACTACACGAGGGATGTCTGCATACTATACATCATGCCAAAATAATTCTCCAGCACGTCAAAGAGCTCAGACAGAAATAGCAACCTGCTAATTGTCGAGCATTTATTGTTTGAGAAATTAGAGCCACGAAGCCTGCAGGTACCACTTTAAAGAGCACTTGGCATAATGGAAGAACCAGCAATGGCTATTGCTTTAAAAGCAGTGAATGCCTTGGGAGCGAATAAAACTTTAAGCACCCACAAATGACAGCCTCCAATTGAGCTAAAACATAAAAAAGAAAAAGCTAAGGCATGCAATATCAACAAACATTGGACAGTGAAATTTGTCTGTGCTCGCAGAGAGCATCAAGACAAGCGTACAGTGATGGTACAGCACTGACCACCCTACAGTAATAGAAGAGCCATAAATTCGTCTATATTAAGTTTTTGATGGTTTAAAACAGAAGTTGACTCAATAAAGCTAACCAGTGACTGTCATATTTTCTATCACAAATCAGTTCAATTATAACCCACAGCTGCACTGATTCAAAGATTCCAAAAAAGACAGCAAGATCACTCACCTGCAACTGTCTGCCTGAGCTGCTCAGCTTCTTCGTCATGAGTGGAGGTGCCATTGCTCGTCAGGTCAGACGACGTAGACGACGACGCCGTGAGCGCGAGAACTGGCAGGCTGGACAGGTCCTCACCCGACGCGGCCACCTTCTCCCAGAGAATTTGGGAAGTGCGCCGCAGGTCCTGGTTCTCCAGGTACCACTGAGAAATAGAATGGTCAAGACTTGAAGGGGTCATGCAAGAGCTCACTTGCTACACACCAACAGAGGAGGGAAAACCTTAACACGGCAAATCAGTCCACAATGTGATGAGAGGTTCATGACAGGGAAAGATTACGACCCATCCATTTGCAGCACATATCTGCAAGGAAAGTACATAAAGAATCTATACTAATCCTAGACCAGGACTACTTTTTCATAAACTACGAAGCTCCTTTGCTGAAAAAATTCGTATCGACATTTTTATCATCAGTTTTTATATTGTTGGTCAGCAAACGTGTGGCTGACAATTTTCCCAAACATGGGTACATGATCACAGAAAAGTAAAGGGACACGTAGAGCTTTAGCTAGGGATGTCTTTGACAAAATCGGGCATATTTGCAACCTCTGTCCCATTCATTTGTCATTTGTGCAATTTGGTGGTTCACTTCTTGGGAAGCATCGCAAGAGCTCTTTTCTAAATAAACTCATCCCAACAAACCTCACAATCTTTCAGGAGGCAGACTTGCCTCCAGGTCTCAAAGTTGTGTACAGTGATTGCTGTGTACAGCGATTGAAAGGATGGAAAAGCCCGACCATCTGGGTGTTCGCTGGATGAAAATATGCGCGCTTGATGTAATGTCCAGCAATAATCTCAACACTCCAATGGACTAACAACATCTGCAAGGGCAGAGTGTAATTCCTCTTGCAAAGTGCAGTGAGCTGCTTTGAGAGCCTTTCAGGCAACATGAAGAAGCTCCCACCAGTTAATGGCTGAGACAATGTTCGCCATATTGCCTGAGGCATGAGCTGTTCGCTTTAGCCAAAAATATCGTTTGCTGTAGTTCATGCCCATTTTGGACATCTTTTTAGCTTGCCAGATGAAATATATTAAATAACACCATATTCTTGCTTTTTGTTGGACCTTTTGGGCGTTTTTTTGCCGTACATGTAAGGCGAAAGATTTCTGTCCTGCAGTGTCTTTGTTGTGCCAGTCTATTTTCAACCCTCTACATGAAATATTTTGCCATGATAAAGATGTGTGCTCACTGGGAGGTGATGCCACTTCCCAGGGCTTACAAAGAGCATTAAAAATGATTGTGCTACTTTGTTGCGGAGATAAACAAAATTGATTTCTAGCATCAGTGTGTAGCACGGTCCGCAGCAGGGCCGATGGGCAATGCCCTTGCATGGTTTCAGTTTTGCCATGTGATTGCAACAGGGGCAAGCAAAAGTTGATTTTCAAATTTATCGGCACTTCCTGGCAGGAGGCAGCGAAAGTTGATTTCCATCTTGGTGCTGTTCTTAGCTTGTTTCCAACTTACACTCACGTGGTACTCTTGCAGGTCTATGTACTGCTGACACCGAATAACTGTTCCTAATTTTTTTTTTCCAATTTTTTCCCAACTATGCACATTTTGTACAATCAAAAACTGCAATAGTCATTTGACCAGCTGGAAAAGCTTTTCTTAGAAAACTTCGACACTCAAGGGGTTATACGCGCTTCAAGATCCACTTAACACAATTGCTCATTTATTGCATAAATTTAGACTCACACCAAGATTGTGCGGTTGACAGCTATCAAACTATCACAAGCGGGGCTATTTTGATTGGAGTGTCTTATATATACATTATTTGAAAAATAGTATGAGGATTGATTACACAGGGCCATGAAATTGTTAGGGCCATGAAATTGTTGTATGCCAGCAGATTCCACTGTTAGAGGAAAGCTAAAAAGGAAAATAGGTAGACCGACATTACACTTCTAAACAAACAAACAAACAAACACAAAAATCACTGTTACTGTGACATGAAGTTAGGTAAGCGGCAAAAATGAAAGATGGGTGATTGCACTGCTGTTGAGTTTCCTACCCACATTCCATAAATTTTGACAGCACCGCCAGAAGTCAAATTAATTCATCATTTGTGAACTTGAATTACATTGTGCATTTTAAAGTAGCCAAGAACTGAGCTCTGAATTTCAAGACCATTAGTAAGCTACAGCAGCCTATGCACTTTTAAAAAATTAGCTGAAATTTATGGTGTCATCATGACAGTAGGGTAGAAATTTCAGCGTACAATTTTAAAATAAAAATTGGCCATAATTTGTTTCCTCCGAGTAACTGACCTGTTAAACGAAAGGTTTTTAAACATTAGTTTATATGTTCAAACTAATTCAGTCTTCATAATAACAGTCATCTTCACAGCATAGGCTGTATCTCTAGCTAGCTTCAAGACTTGCTCGTGGTCACCTAGCAACAAGCCATAATAACGAGCTGCAAGAACAGTCCTCGACGAATTTAGCGAGGCTTCAACTTTTTATAACTGAAAAAAAAAAGAAGAAGAAGAAAAAATAGGTCATCAAAATCCCGGAGTTTTAGGCCACAATATGATTATATGGCATTATCAGTGGTTGACTCTAGCTTAGTTCTGATGAGATCAGGTGGTTTTTGCATTTCTCATCAAAATACAGAGACGGTGGCTCGGAATCCAAGATACACCTGCAAGCTTAAAAGCATGCACCTTAGCCAAAAGGCACATTCCTTCTTTTAGTTGTACTGAAACAGATGTGAAACTAAAAAACTCGGCCTCTCTTGCCGTTTTTTTCAGACACGTCTTTGCAGACTACTGAGTGAAATGAACGCAACGAACCTGCGAGGCTTTTTGAGCACCTTGGAGGCAGCCTTCGTCTCGGCATTGTAGCGGCGCCTGAGCATTCCGTACTCCTCACACACAGTTTCCGAGGCTGCAACGAGGCACAAGACCATCCACACAGCTGAGCACTCCCGCCTGTCGGAAAGCCACTCTGCACACACTCTTTGTGGCTCAATGCCACATGCAGACTACACTGCACCTCAGTGAAAGAGAGCCCAGCCAACGTCCCGCAATTGGCAAGGATGGGAGTCGGTAGCTGGACGTGTGTGGCACAGAAATGAAGTTGTGCGTTTTCGTCTTCTGTGCCTGTCGTCTACGCTATGTGATTCACTACAGCATAGAAATCCAATTTCAATACAACAGATAAGCCTGCTACCTTGCAGCTGCCCGATCTATACAGCAGAGTGCAGATCTATTGCTTCTCTCTGCAGGCACGAAAAAAGAAGGAAGTTCCGTTACACAGCCTGACTCATGACAGACTCATTACTTCAAAGCTTCCGTTTTGCTGCTGATAGCGGCAGGGTGGATGCGTTTTGACTTTCTTATCGTTGGCACTAGGCCAAATGCTCAGTTAGAGGAACCTGTTTTTGATATTAATGTTGCTGGAGTACAAACAAAGCTGATGCACGACTTCAAAATGTGACAGTCAGTGACAAGTCACAATAAGATAAATACATACTCTACTTGAAGACTCACAAATGACATGCACGAATAACAACAAAGATTATTGGATCATTGGTGTTCTTCTTAGTCATGTTTACCTACAAATTATGAAAAAAAAAATATGGACACAAGCCTGCACCTAAGGTTTCAGTGAAAGCTACAAAGGCAATAAGAAACACAAGAAGTGTTTTTTTTACTGAGAATGAATAGAAGATAATGCTTTAGAGTTCTCACACACTTATCAGAAAACTTACGACCTGCATGCCATTGATGATACTGAGTGGGGTTTCACATAGCGTAAAAATACAGCACAAAATCTGTGGTTAAATTTCCCATTAGGCAAATCATGAGCTTATTACATAAAATGTCATTATTTGGCCCCATAACATTTTCACATATTCTGTGAAATCATTATGAGTATACTATGGGGTACTTAGAATATGTCCATTGTATAGCCTGTATTAAACTCATAGTGTTAAATGAATATTGAAATAAGGTATAGACATTTATACCTGAAATTTAGTGCTCAAAAGATGGGAACTAAAATACGACAGAACGTATACTATCCAACAGAACGTATGCTAACCCGACAGAATGTATGCGTCACGTCGGATTAACGTCAATTGTGGCAACTAACCACAATTGACGTTAACCTCACGTGACGGCTGTATCAAAGGAGTATACATGTAATGTTTAAAAATTTCGATGGGCAGCACTGCAACCACTATTGACATTTCACGAAGATTAGTGTCTATTTGAAAAGTAGTTCCGAAACCTGGCGTATTTCTGTGGTAAAATGCTTCATTGCTACGCTGGATGCTTGGGTTCGATTCCAGCTGGGATCCTGACATTTATTCTTTGCATTCGTTGAGTCTATGCTACCGATGTCGGGTATTTCTTAACGCCCGTGCGTTCTCGTCATTCTTGGGTAGATACTAAGTGTGACTCACCTGTGGCACATACCCGCATACCAGCAGCACATACCGGCCCGTGGGTATGTGCCACTGTCTGGCAGGAAGTGTTTGACAACATACGCAACGGGACTCTGACATTATTCATGTCTTGACCAGCGCATCATATTCTTCAAACCACCTTACCCTCTCAAACTAATTTTGGTTCATGCCAAGTTAAGGGGGTGACCACGAGAGCACCCAAACATAAACGGCCAGATAGATAGATAAAGAGATAGCTAGATAGGTTGGTTGGTTGACTGACCGGCCAGATGCAGACAGACAGACAGACAGACAGACAGACAGACAGACAGACAGGAAGATACGCTCAAAATAGTCAGTGAAGTTCACTAAGAAATGCTTTGCATTTAAAACACCAAGATTCTAGCTGATCACTAATGCAGGTACCACAGTACAGAGCATATATTAAGACGATCGAGACCAGGGACTGCTTCGAACGAATACGGTTTATTGGAAGAAGTGAAGTAGCGCGCGCTCGCTCCAGGCAGCAGTCTTCTTTCTCCTTCTTCCGGCGTTTGATGATGATATATTATAGGCTCCCGCCTGCCCAAGTTGAAATGTGATAAGCTCTCGCGGGCTATTTGAAACAACCTTCCATAGGGTATATGTGGTTCACCGATCTTCTTAGAAGCTCTTTTTTGCCTGTGCGAA